TCCCCTCAGCACCTCCTCCAGACATGATGTTTAGTAAAAAAATAAAATTTATGAACAATTGCACTCATGGTGACTTCCTTTATTTTGCAAGTCATTTTTAGCATGGCAATTACGCTTTCTGACTGATTGATTATGCCTGTACCGGTGATTTGTAAAATATCCAAGCCTTCTAACAATCACCAGCCGCATAGCCAGTTATTTGGTTGGTCATTCCACACTGGACCATTTACTTTTAAGTTTGTTTCTATACAGTAAAGATTCCTTTATAATACAAGTAAAAAACATTAACTACCAATTAAATTTGAAATCATGCATGTGATACTTGATAAAAAGCATCACAACTGGCTCTGGGAACAGATCTTTGAGTTTTTAATGTGACAAAACAAACAGACTACTCCATAGTAGGTACATTTACTTTGTAAAACACTGTGATAGTGCTCCACAGAATAAATGGAACTTTTTAAACCTATCTATAGCTTAGTTAGAAAGCCAGATAAATAACAGTAGTTTTAGGACATTCTATTTGAGTACCTGATGTATTATTTGTGTTCTAAGATGCACATTTGAAAGCTACATGAATTATTATTTTTGGACAATGAATATAGTTGAAAAAAACGAGGCATACAAGTGTCACTTTATGGCATATAACTCATTAAAAAAAGAAACACAGACACCATCATTTTCATTTTAGCTCAGAGATATTTAATGTGTAAGTGTGAAAGGCTTCAGAAACTTAAAAAATAATACAGAGGTGGAAAGAAATTCATAAAATGGGCAATTTAGAGCAAAGAAGTGTTATGTGATACACAAAAGTGAAGAGTGAGAATTTATTTAAATATACTCTTTTGAACTTAAAATTTATATAATACTAAAATTTGGATTATGAGCTATGTTTTGATGTCAAGTTTATTGACATTCATTGATAACAAAGTAGTTTAGGTGCTACTATAGCATGCGATCTACCAATACTTTTACACTTAGTTAAAGAGACAGGTCAGTTGGGGTCTTCTATGATCCCTCTGGGGTAGGGGTAATAGGATCTTGGTAGACTACGGATACTGTGGTAGACTGCACGCTATAGTAGCACCATAGTTTAATTGAATTTTGAATGTAACTCTAAAAAGGTTATGACATACACACTTTGAACTAGAATTAAAGTAACAAAAGAGTGAAAATAATAACTTAATTCAATGATATGCTTCCTGCATATGTAGAGGTAAAATAAAATATCAAAAAACTTGCCCAGTCAGTGGTAAAGGGTGCTCCACTTGCCATCAGATTTCTCACCTGTTCTGTTTCACCATTTCTAGCTGATTCCAAAAGCTGCTTTCCAAGATCTACTAAAGACATGCTGATATTCTGCACAATGCAAACAAAAATAAGGAAAAAAATTATTTAAATACATGAATATAAGTCAAGGACATTACAATACCTACAAATTAATTATAAAAAGTGGTGATTTTAAATTATAAATAAACTGAAATTAACACACATTGGTTTGTTGTGTAGTGCAGAGATGTATTGTGCATTTTCCACCCCAATATATAAAAAGTAAGAATTAAAATTATGTTGTTTTCTTAATTCACCTTTTGGACACAGTGAGAAATTCACGAGTTACTGACTTTAGCAATCTGTAATATGCTAGCACAGTTCTGGTGTTATTACATTAGTAGTTAAAGCAGAATTTAATTAGAAAGCAGAGCTATTCTTGTCAGGAAATCAGATAACAGTTGGAGGTCATCATGCTCTTGGTTGCAGACATCCTGCTAATTAAGTGAGGTAACTAGTGTAGAACATAAGATTGGGTATTCTACAGATGTTGAGGCAAATTGGCATATTTAAATTCATGTTTATGCCAGAGAACTCAGATACCCTGTATATTTTCATGTAGAATTTGTCTTCAAATTTTGTATACTTGCTTTTTGTGTATGATTTAACATTGTCTTGTGTTTCCATTACCTGTAAGTTCAGCAATGACCTTCTGGTTTTTCCAAGTTTCCATTACTAGTCATTTTGATTAAAAGTAAGTGTACTTTGGTTTTGTTTGAATTCACCATAAGCAAACAAAGTTTAATGTGCTTTCACATTAAAGTGTAGCATTTGCTCCACTACTGAAGCAATAAGTATTTTAAAGTAAAGTAATTGTTATTGTACTGAAATCCAAGTAGAATTTCAGAATTTTATCAAGGGTTATTTTACTGTTCTAACTTCGGGTCATTTTTCATTTAGTATTATCTTTTTAAGTTTAATTTACAAGAGGGAAACACACAAACTGACAAGATCCTTATTTGTTTATTAAAGTCTTTGCTAGCTGTTACATACACAAATCACTTGCCAATTGTCTTGTACTGTATTGTTTTGCAAATTGTGTCTTGTCTCTTTTTCTTTGACTTAACTGAAACTTAACTCAATGGAAAATATATCTCAAATCCATAGATTCAAAAACCTAAATTCTCTACTTTGCTGGAAATCCGTGAATATCACTAATGGTTGTTAAAATCTGGTGGCATCTATCTAGCTAAATAAAGTACACCAAAATTGAATATTAAAGTCTTTACTTTTTGAAATAGATTTGAATGAATTTATATGTTGGTTATATACATATACAGAAACAAATTTAGCAAAAAAGGAGAGTAATATACTACTTACATGAATAATCTTGTTCCTGTCAGCTGATTTATATTAAAATAACAACTTGCTTAAATTGGAGACAACATATTTATCATAACTGCTTTTTTTACAATTACTGCAAGTACATAACTTTTGGAAAAATGAATGATCTACAAAACCCATATTCTTAAAATATTTTGTGCATAATTTGCTTATTATTTTTTTTCTTCGATTCATAACATAAGTAATATACAATAAGAAAATGCATTCAAAGTATCACAACTAATTTTCCTACAAGTTGCCTTTTAATTTCACTGAAATTTTCTTTACTTGTTTCAGTTTAAAGAATTCCCGTTCTCCTTCATTCTCTTATTTTATGATTTTGTGTACTTGCTGGGAACAGAGGTATAAAAGTATGCCTTCATAGGATATCAATCCTGCCTCATTTTTTTTTTTTACCTTTATTTCTTCAGAAGCAGTGACAAAGAATTATGCACTAAATATTAACATTTAGAGTGTTGCCTCAAATAGTAGTAAAATAAGAGTGAAGTATATTTTGTTTATTCAATGTTTGAAAACTGGACTTAATGTTGACAATTTGGCTGTAGAACTAGGTATAGCTGTTTTTCATTAGTAAATGATCAAACCACTTGTTGTGATAGCATATTAAGATTTCAACTAGGGTCCAAGGCCTGTACAAAAACTAAGGGAAGAGCCTAAAAAAATCAAGAAATAAATAACATTCTCAAGAGATGATAGGCTCTATTGAATTACATTATGCATGAGTTACTTGTGAACATACCTCATGAAAAATTATTATGTTATTACTTATTTTACCAAATCTAACCTTAACTAACCTAAAAAGTTTCCTATTTTTACATTTTAGTTACTTTTATGATAATAGAAAACACACTATTGAGATAGAAAAGAGTATAAAATATATTGGAAAGTTAAGCTCTTATACTGTTATAGATTTTTGAATATGATTAATATTATCATTTGTAGTAATTTGGGTTAAATAGCAAAAGAATAACTAGATTTAGTAAGATTATGAAATAAAAATTGTAGGGTTAAAGTTGTAATTACAACTTAGTTGTGCAACCATTACGATCACATTAGCTTAGGCTTAAGAGATTTAATGGTACTTTAGGCTTAGTTATAATTCAACTTATTGGTAAATCATAAAACAGGTTAAATACATTGCTTTATTAAACAAATACAATATAAAGACTACTTGATTGTATCTTCATGTTTTAAGGATTAACTTGTTTACTTGAATTTAGTTACATTAGTTTATATTCAGCTTATAAGTTATAGGTAGGTTATAAATCATGAAATTATTATTAGTAGTAAAATACATTGTATTATTAGTATTTCATAAACATCAAATAAAGTAAAGACTAGTTTAGTTATTATAAAATTAAAGATAAACTTAATTACTGTAATGTGAACACGAAGTAGTAATAAAATATATCATCAAATGTTTGGCTTAACAATGTTGGAAATAGGCTACTGGTATTTAGTATTGATTATTAATTTCCAGGTTACAAATATAATGGTTACGACTAGTGTAATAGTTATGCTTTCATAGTTTGTGTGATGGGTAAATTGAGTAGGTTTTATTTGGGAACTTGGGACTGGTATGTACTTTTAAGGAAGCTAGAAGTGAAGATGTGCAATTTGTATGTAGAGTTTGTAGGTTGGAGGAGAAGTTGGAGGCTATCATAATTAAAGTAGAAGCAATAGATAAAGAGAAAGGTAAACTGTGGGAAATGGCAGCAGGATTTCAAAAGGAACTTAAGCTTTTACATGCAAGGGATACATCAGCTAACAATGACTTTCAGGAAATTAGAAAGAGTACTATTAGGGCTAAAACTAAAAGTAGTGGATTTAATTGTAATGAGCCTATTCTACTGAGCAACAGATTTTAGCACTTGGATTGTGTAGATGAAGAACTATTGGAGGGAAGGAAAACAAAAGGATTAGAGAAGGATGTGAATGATAAACTTAAAGAGGTTACAGTTATGGGTGATTCCTTGACAAGGCATGTGGATAAGATACTCTATGGATTAAATAGAGAGAAAATAATTAGTTTATGCTACTCAGGGCCACAGGAGAAAGATATAACTGACACAGCAAAAAATATAATAAAGGGGGCTAGCAATAATGCAGTTTTTGTTGTGCATGTAGGGGCTAATGATGTACGGAAAGGTAGATCAGAGGAGCTAATTAACAAGTACAATGGGTTGACAAAGGCATTTAAAGAAAAAAAAGACATAACTTAATTGTGTCAGGGATACTAGTGAAAATTAATTGTGAGGATGAAATTATGAGTAGGTCACTAGAGCTAAATGTTAGGCTTAGGTTAATATGTAAGATAGATTGGTTGGTTGAACTTGTGGGATCAGTTCAATGAGAGAAGGAAGCTTTTTGGGATGGATGGTTTACATTTAAACAGAGTAGGGTCTGGCTTGTTTGCAAGGGCTATTAACTCAACTCTAAGGGAAGTTTTAAATTAAGACTGGCAATGGTGAGTGTCAGGATAAACTAAATGCAAAAAATATAAGATGTAGAGAAAAGTTTAGCATAGAAAATATAGAAGTAGTTCTAAGAATAGGTTTCATTGTTACTATTGTAATGCTAGAAGTATAAGAAATAAATTAGATGACTTTAGGGCACTGGTAGAAATGGAGGATTTTGATACAACTGAAACAAGGTTACATAATTGAATAAATACTCTACTTATTCAATTATGTACAAGCTGCCCAGTGTTGGCTAACAATACGAAGAATTAAATTGTGGCGGATTGCTACAAGTTCTTCAAATACCTATAAAATGATAGGTTTCTTTATGGTGAGTGTAAAACATGTAAATACACTAATTTGATTTTCAATACCTCACTGGTATAAAGGCTTGGTTTGGTCTGATATTTCATTGGTGGTAGTGTCCAGGGTCACTGATGAGGAGTTGAATTCTCTGAAAGTAGTCTGGCTCGCAGACCCACACTCCAATGAAAGAATAGACATTTCAAGCTTTTACTTGTTGTTAAACAAATGTTTAAACTACTCTACTTATTCAATTATGTACAAGCTGCCCAGTGTCGGCTAACAATACGAAGAATTAAATTGTGGCGGATTGCTAAAAGTTCTTCAAATACCTAAAGAATGATAGGTTTCTTTTTGGTGAGTGTAAAACATGTAAATACACCAGTTTGATTTTGAAATAAGGTTAAATGTAAATGATTTTGATGTCAGAAATCTCTTTGAAATACAGGGTTTTAAGTTATTTAATAGGCATAGAGCAGAGAAAAGGGAGAAGAGGGGTGGCTTTCTATGTAAAATGTGAGTTACATCCTGTTGAAGTTAAGAATATCAAAGATGATAGCAAGGAGATTGAAATCATTTGGGTTTCTATTAACGAATATAAAGGGAAAAGGCTTTTAGTGGGAATTTGTTACAGACCACCAGATGATACTGATGAAATTATTGAGAAAATTTACAGTGAGATTAAGACTTCAGCTGTTAAAGAGGTCATAATTATGGGTGATTTTAATTTCAGGCATATAGATTGGGAAATGATAAAGTCAAACCATGAAAGAAAAACGTTTTTGGAAACTGTTCAAAATGGTTTTCTTCACCAATTGGTCAAGGAACCTACTAGAAACAATGCTATTTTAGATTTATTGTTAACTTCTAATACAGAAATTGTTGAGAGGGTGGAAATTGGGGAACACCTGGGTGCAAGTGATC